GTGTCATTAGAAACTGATTTGGAAATGACCTTATTTTAATAGTCAGTCGTGAACTGAGGTGGGCCGGTCTGAGGCTTGAAACTTCAGGGCTGAAAAGGAGTCCCACTCCAGCCCTGTCACTCACCCAAAGTTGCATGTGTTATTCCAGGTGACACAAGGCAGATCTGGTACCCACAGAAGCAGAATTCATCCATCTAAAGTTATTGAACTGTTTTAACATCAAAGACATTGCCTTAAAGTCTAAAAGCTTACATAATGCTGCTTTAAAGTTTAAAGAAAGGTTTGATTAAAAGTTAACCTCTCATGAATATTAAAATGCTGACTGAATACATAATGAGCTCTCCATATTCTGTATGTGTGGATCTACCCGACCACAGGAATGCAGAAGCAGACAGCGGTGTGGGCGTCTGAGCTTTAGTCTTCTCATCATGAGACATTTTTGATTCTGTGGAAGGATGAACTAATGCTTCACTCTTTAATTAAAAAAAATCCTAACCCTAAGCCATTCTTGTGAAAACTGCATGTTGTATACTCTTGTCATTTAAAAGCTGAAAATGTAAAGAAATAAATCTGTGCAAATTTAATAAAACAATGGTTAGGGATGAGCTAGAAGTTAGCATTTAGCATGTGTGCATGCATGTGTATAGCTGCAATTACTTGCAACCTGAGACGCTTGAAAGACGGCAGGATGAAATTGAAGCATTCACATTTAAATGGTTGTAAGTTGAGAGCTGTGAGCAAAGTTTTACCGTTGCACAATGTCCTGCGCTCACTCTACAGAGAATCTACTGTTGTGGAGTGCACATGACAGAATTTATTTAAGGATAACAGGCTTTGAACATGTCTGGAATATGAGGCACATCCACACAGCAGCGTATGAGCATATATAACCTGTCATTTTGGGCAGGACGGCCTGCCACAGGAGGTGAGTAAGAGCTGTGCCATGACATGAGTGGGTGGATGGAATGAGGAACTGTGTTCTTACGGTTATTCTGTGGTTCTTGCCATCACACTATGGACCTTTTATTACCTACCAAGGTGAGTGTTGTCGTCATGCTGTTCAGTCACTGCTGATTTCTTTGTCCATACAAGTCACATCTCGAAAACAAACTCAGCCATAAAGATAATTTTGGTGTGCATGATGACTTTTAGTAAGGTCAGAGCAATCTTTATTCATTAGTATAAAATCTAACCTTTACTGTGGAGATACCAAACATAAACTACACTTAGGTGAATGTGTATTAGTTGTAAAGAATTTTTATGGCATATTTGAGACATAGAGAGGACAGTTGTTTGCATTATGTTTCTCATATAATATTGTTCATGCATAATGTTTTACAGCTCACAGTTCAGACCTTATTTCTTGAAATTCTGAGCTTGTATTGCAATTTTAAGATAATGCCTTTATAATTGTTTTCTCAGAATTAAGTTCTTTTAAAATGTTTACTCTTTCTCTAAGGTATTAACATGATTCCGTTTACAGTTTAAATCTCAATGGCAATTACAACTTACATTTTACGATATAGTTTCATTTGTTTGCATGGGTTACCAATATTAGTTAACATGAACCTGCAGTGAGCAATATTTCTACAGCATTGATTAGGTATCTTGCTTAATGTTAATTTCTTAATGTTACACTGTAAAAATAAATCCGTAATTTTACCGTTTATTTCCTGCAGCTGGAGTGCAAGAAAAAAACAGTAAAATAATGGCCGTTAAATTACAGAAATTTACTGTAAAATAACAGGTTGAATTACAGAAATGTACCTGAAATTTAAATTTTGGTAATTTAGTGTCTGTTATTTTACAGTGAATTTTTGTAACTTAAAGTCAGTTTCTTTACGTTTTTTTTCGGCACCCCAGCTGCCAAAAATAAACAGTAAAATTACGAATTTGTTTTTACAGTATACCAATTACATTGTAAAATACATAAACTCAAATTAGTTATCATTAATGCACCATGCACTAACATAAACAGCTATGATTAATTGAATTGTATTTATTTTTAATAACTATGATTAACAAAGATTAGTTCATGGTGTAAACATGTATTTATCATAGTTAATGCTGCTTAATCAATTAAAAAATGCTAACGGTCATATTGCAAAGTGTTAACATATAAGAGTTATTGTAACAATTATGAAGTTATATATTGAAATATTGGCAGCATGGTTGCTCAGTGGTTAGCACTGTTACCTCAAAGCAAAATAGTTGCTGGTTCAAGTCCCGGCTAGGTAAAACATATGCTAGAATTGATGATGATTCATTTCACTAGCAAACTCTGATAAATCAAAGACTATGCCGAAGGAAAATGAATATTGAAATGTTGAGTTGATATCTTTAAATACAATAATCATATGTTTATTTCTCACAGTTTACAGCTTTTTAATTTACATTTTCAAGATGATGTCTTAAAATTCAGACGTTTCCCCCAGAATATGGAGCTTGTGTGTCATAATTCTTATAGAGTTTGACTGGGATTTCAATGTAGAGTAATAAATTATGCTCACATATATATATATATATATATATATATATATATATATATATATATATATATATATATATATATATATATATATATATATATATTGTTATTATTTATTTATTTATTTTTTTTTACAAATTATGGTCATGATCTATCCTGCCTTTTTTTTTTTTTTTTGCATTACAAATTTTAAAAATACATTTAATTCAGAATACTTAACTAATGATACTCCAAAGGTTTACATAATTATTTAATTTAACGTTCAAGAACTCTTGAAGGGTAAAAAAAAGAGTATTCTGGCTTGTATGCCCTAGTATGTAATTAAAATTTTCTAAAAACTTTACTATAATTTGTGCATCACTTGCCATATGCTGTTATTATTGGTCACACTGGTTGTACACCATCTCCTCTTTCTTTTTGGTAAGTGAGTAGACAGCCATCTAGCCTACTGTTGCTCCATGTGGATGAAAAATTCAACATGTCTTTGCAACATGAGCTTGGGCTTGGAGCACTACATCTGCCACGAGGTTACCTGGTTTCTGACAGCAGCACTGACCCTCATTATGAGTAAACAACAGACTTAAAGTGAGACTCCACTAGTTGGAAATACGTTAGCAAGAACTAATACTGTCAAACATTCATTATCGACCTGAATTTGACCGAGCCCGACAGCGACATCTGCTGTTGAAAATAAGCGACACGACAGAATACTGTAGTTTCTGTAACATTTCTACACAAGGTCGATTCTAAGTTCTTCATATAGGCTAGTTATTATTTTTAAATATTTCATGAAATATAACAATCTGTCTAAATCTGTCTAAAATAACTATACAAACCAAAATATGTTTGTCCCACCTTTCCAAGAAACTAACCGCATGACAACTCAGAGTAGTATAAGCCCGTGAAGTTTTAATAACCCCTTATGGATCTCACTCGCGCAGTGAGTACGCTATATGCGTTATTAGCCTATTATTCGCCCGCTTGGAGCTAGATGACATCATCGACCCACAGAACCGCCAAAACTGTCTGCTCTCTCAACGCGCATGCGCTCACAAATCAAACGCGTAATAGAGCAGGTGTGATAAACACGAGTGTGTTTCTTTCCATTGAAGGTAGGGTATTATGATATTTTTTTGTTTTTATAATGATTTCCATACAAAGCAGATTCCACCCTATACCACACGCCACCCTTTCCCACGAGACCACCCAGTTATGTCAGCTTAAACAAGTTAGATAAAGAATGAATTCTTTAGCTAAACTGGTTTCATCTCATTTGGGTAATTTTACCAAATCTGCGCCTTTTCTACTTAAAAAATCAAGCAATAAAATGTCTTAATTATGTTTGATAAAATGAAGATTTAAAATGTTAAAACAAGTTTGAACATTGCATCTTGGGCTATTTAACTTTTATTTATAGATTATTTTTATGTTTTGACATTTTGACATTATTCCTGATACAGACCAAGGTAAAACAAAAAAAAACTGTATTTATTAGAACTATGTGATTTTCACATAAAACCAGTATTTAAGACCCTCTTTTAAATAAATTTGTTCATGTACTTATCCTAACTTTGGAGGTCTATGTCAGTTAAGAAAAACAAACAACAGGCGTTTTACAAGAGTGATACTAAAGCAGTTCAATTTAAAGTTTCAATAAATAAATATGAAAGTCCTTATCAAATAGCATTTTTACAATCGTTTGCATTTAATGATAGTATCAGTATTGACAATATATGATTAGCTAAGTAACAGAATTAAATTAAATCTTATTTTTTGCCAGTTTATGTCAAAATAATATATAATATTAAAAATAAAAAACTCAACCAAAATGTCAAGCTAATTTCTTAATAAAGCCAATAAGTTCTACTTGAAGGCTAGTAGACTTTGAATATAAATAGTAAATAAATGTTAATTGAAACCTATTAAAAAAATTTAAATGGTACAATATGGACTTTGCACTACATCAGTCAATGATCACAAATTATCAATAAACTAAATTATGAAGAGTAAATGTGTTTTAACTGTTGGAATCCTGACTGAGTACGAAATTACATGGCTGAAATGAAATCAGATGGAAAAAAAAGTTATTGTAGTCTAACAATAAGGTTACCCTAAATAATGCATTTTAAAATCAGCTTAACTGGTATATTATGAAATGAAAAAGCCAACAAATTTACTTTATTTTGATGATATATTGAAAGAGTACAAAATACTATTTTTACTGGATCTGAAATGACAGTAGCCATACATTAAAAATGCTGTTTGTTTAAACTATCTTACTAGTTTAAAATGAGTTGCAATAACACAATTCTTGACATTCTTTTGGGGAAAATCTTGATTTTTTTTTTATTTTCAAACCACATACATTTGTTAAGTTAAATTGATCGACTTGTGTTGGGACAACAATAATGAATTGTGTGGAACCCTGCATATTATTCAGTGTGGCTAAGCAAAAAAAAGAAAAGAAAAAAGAAAAGAAAAAATAAAGTGAAATGAAAAATTTTAAAATTCAATAGTGTTATAAGAGAAAAGGTGTTTTTAAAATGACAAGTCTACTACGTTTAACAAGGCTCGTCCAAAAGTTTCCCTCCCTCACAGTCAGTCAGTCAGTCACCTCCTCTTTCTCTGAGTGACTCAGTCGGCGGCTCTGACTTCAGTGTTTCACGAGTTTATTAAGTTTGCTCTTCATCATAGATGGCACAGACAATTACAAATCTGGATTTGGACTGGAATGCGACGTCGCTTTTAATCGGGATGTACGTTTTATAATCGGACCTCTCAAAGATGTGGGGACCGGAGCACTTTTCATTCACATGGATCACAGGTTTGCGCCATCTCTTTTCAATTTAATGTTGCATCTACTACGTGTAAAATAATTAAATTAACTGTACCAATTATCAAGAAAAATGGTAAATATTTAATATTTAACGATGCATGTAACCATGTGACTTTGTTATAATAGCAATACATTTTATTGTCATTAACCTTGGCTATTATTTGTTAGTTTTCTTTTCAACATGTAGCCTAATATCACTTCCACATTCTATGCTAAAAAAACATAATAGTAATTAAATTACCATTTTCTTTTGTTTTAATGTAATCTATTTATTGTCCGTTTCATTAAATATTAATTATTATTTAATTTTAATGTAATCATTGTTTTTTTTTTTTTTGCACATTCCGTGCCGTGACTTTCATTTTAGCGGCTTATTGGCGTCTTCTCGGTGGGCGTTGAGTCGACGGGGTTAAACCAATAATAACAGGCATTCTTACTTGTCCAGCTCAGATGAAATTGCTAAACGGATTAAAACAGTGAGGGGGAATGTTCATATGTGATCTCCAAACAACTAACTGCACTTTAGTTCACACTAACGCATAAAAAATAAAATTCCATGCACTTACTTTAAAAAATAAAACATCCATGACGTGGTTAATAAAGCGTATACATTTTATAATTACTCTGAGTTGTTGCCCTGAACTATGGTGCTATTTTAAAACAAACGAGTAGCATTGATTGTCATTTTTATAACTATGTTTTACTACTGATGTCATGGCTAAACTAACGCCAAACCATGGCTGATTTCTGGTTTAACATGGTTATTTGTTTAATCCATATAATAATTGTTTTAATCTCTTCAATCTTGATTTTTGTTAGTGTACTCAAATACAAAACAGTTAAATGCAGTGTTTACTTGTTCATGGGAGATAAGTGTGCTCAAAGGAGAACAGAAGAGGCACACCCCTAGAAGTGTGTTTTCTCTGAGGCATTTATGCAGACTATGTTGTGTGTGTGTTGTTGACACTGAACTCCTAAACTGAACCTAAACTGATCAGTTGGTTGGACAGGTCTGCTTTCTCACCATTCGTCTGTGAAGAGTGAAAAATGGTCGGAAATGCCTCTCAGCGCCGGTCATGCCTGCAGGAAACTGTAAACTACAGATCTATATTGGGAGAGATGACAATACAACTTTAGGAAGGAACTTCAGGAATTTCTAAACCACCCTCACAAAAAGATGTCACATGAAACACTAACGCATGTTTAAACTCATCTGAAGTTTATTCAAAAGTTATCTGAATGCAAGGCTTTGGCTGGTCGATGCCTTTACAGAAGGATTTAAAGTGTTAGTCAGATGACTTTATAATACACAGCCTTTCTAAAAAGTCATTGACACATAAAACAAAGGTTTAGCTCAGAAGATTTAATTTCACTAACACTAAAACTCCCGAATTAATGCTAGCTTTGATGGTCCTAATCACCCAAAGGCCGAAAAAAAAAGTTTAGTCAAACAGCCAGCTGATTTTATTCAACTATTAAATTAATTTAATTTAATATGACTCTGAAAACATTATGGTTCACTAATGACAATAATTATAAATATGTATAAAAATAATTAAATATATGTTAAATAAAATGTTTTATACATATACCAGAACAAGTAAACTCATAATGCTGTAGCACATAGGATTTATTGCTTTATATTATATTGCAAGCTCTGGCCCACACAATCAGCTTTTGCTTGGTCCACATGCCGCAGTGAATTACAGTACATGACTGGACTAAGTCTGGCTTCCAGAAAAGGGCCAAACATGGACCATATCTGGGCCAAGTCTTAGTCAAGTTAATAACCTATAACTGGGCCTGAACTGGGCCAGGTATGTTGGTGTGTCACTACTGCAATAACAATTGATAAACCCATGAATGATTTAGATTTGTTTTCTTTATTTGAAAATAATGAAGATGTATTTTAAATGTGGGTCAAGGTAGGCCAAACCTAAATGGCCCACATATAAGTTATTAACATCTGGGCCAAATACTACATTTTACATCTGGCCCAAGTATTGTGTGCTGCCTTAAAGATGGTGCAATCTCTGCCAAACCAGGGCCATGTTTGGCCCACATGCTGTATGCCAGTGTCGGATAAATGCCTGCTGTGCCAGATTTATGCCAAATCAGGGCCAGAATTCTTTCCTACCTGGGTTGTATTACAGCTAATGATATTTTCTAAACATTCTGACAAGACAAGAAAAAAGTTACAATAACAGGGTCTCACTGGAGCTGTAGCAGAGGCCAGCTAGTGAAGTGCTGTGCAGGTGCACCTGACTCCTCTGACCTCTAAAGGTGCTCTAGCGACAGATGTTAGTGGCCATGATCTTTAGCCTTCTTGTTAGAGCAACCGACTCCCATACAAAGAATCACTGGTTTGATCCCAGCTGAGAACATGATAGGTGCTGTAGGACCGATGGGGTTAAATGTGGGGGCTCGTCCGGGATGGGAGTGCGGCTTAGGGGTGTGAGTGTAACAGAGGCCAGCTAGTGAAGTGCTGTGCAGGTAAACCTCACTCGTCTGGCCTCTAAAAGTGCTCTACCAACAGACTGCTACCGACTCCCATGCAAAGAATCGCCGTTTCAATCCCAGTTTAGAGCAGCTTGTGAGCATTAGGCCCAGTGGGTTACAGATCCATAAATAAATTTAGACATCTAAGACTTAAATTAATGTGCATGCTAATGTTGCCCTGTATAATTTTCAGGAAAAACTAAAATGTCCAAATAATATCTTAGTTATTCATGATTTAATATCGATGAGGTTTGATTATGATTTTTTAAATCCAAAAGTTAGATTACTAACTGTATGTTATAGCTTGACTCTATATAACTTTGTCTTCACATTTTACACTAAATCTTTTCTCAGTCTCACAGACATGATAAATGTAATGTAACATTACAAATATGACAATGTGAATGGCATTTACAATATCTTGACATCATAGACTGGGTTTGTTTGTATTTTCCCATATAAATCAGTACAAGCTGACTCTAAACAGCAGCTTGGATTTATAAGTCTTAGTCTTTGACTAATCTTGACTCATCAGCTCAAGTCTGCAAAGTCACAACTAGCATTTGTAAAAATTCTTTCCTCTTGGATTCAAGTCCAAGTTTCAGTCTCACAAGACTAGCCTGAACTTGTGTCGGATGTAAATTTACATGTGTTTGTTTGACAAATGCTTCCTTAAAGAAAAAATGCTCTTGCATCATTAAAAACTGTGAAGGCTACTAGCACCAGATGAATGCTAGCCAGTGTGCTATATAGATTAGTCTGCTCTTTAATTTAGGTCTATGAAAATTATAAGATTTCGTTCATTCTGAATATACTCTTGAGTGACAATTTTTTTTCTAAGAAGTCATCTTGCTTGATGTGTGTGTCAGATGTGTTGTACTGTAGATTAGCATTGCTGTTTAGCATGCTGTCTGTTTCCAGAGCTGTTTGTTTGCTAGTAACCGTGTGTCTGAGGTGCTTGTGTTTATGTCTGCGCCTCGAGCATTTGGAGATCAAACCAGATGCTGTCACTCTCTGACAGACTCATATAGAGCTCATAGTCATGCGTTCGCTGCTATATTAACTTCACTAAAGCTGAGTCACACTTTTATGAGATGTTTAAGACATACTTTAAGTGTATACAGACACAAATATAGCCACTTAGACTCATAAATATATGACATATGATGAAACGGTGCTCTCTGACTAGGCATCGATGACTTTATAATATAAACATATGAGAGAATGCCTTGGATGTTCACATTTAGGCGACACACAATATGATGATTATTTTGTATCATCAAAACCTTAGCTAAATATGTAGCTTAAGTGCGACTTCTGGGATTTCTGCACGTCATGATATAGTGTTAAAAAACAGTCGTTGTAGTTTCAAATGCATTTTTTCTAATAAATTTTATTAGTCTGTAACAGTTCATCATTATTAAATTTGGCTCATCATAATTACATACTGTAATATCTAGTTAGTATATCTGAAGTTGGTCTCCCTTAAAGAAATGCACAAGAATATGTTTTTAAAAATTTACATATTCTATAAACTGTAATAATTTTTTCAATTTTAAACACATTTTTGAACAATTGTTTGTCATGTTTTGTTCATTTAAATGGTCCCGTAATAATCAATGATTTCATATTGAAACATATATTCAGGACACCATTCGGAAGTTTGAAATTGGTGGAATTAAAGAATAATAATTGTTGTTAATAATAATAGTAAATGCTTTGCTCAGTAATGCATCTTTTATTGGTTGGAAATAACATAACACATTGAAAGTGTGAAATATTATTTTAATTAAATTGATAACCGCGACTTGGTGGCTCAGTGGTTAGCACTGTCGCCTCACAGCAAGAAGATCACTGGTTTTAATCCTGACTGCTCTGGTTTCCCCTCCAGTTCAACGACATGCAGTATATATGAAATTAATAAACTAAATTGGCCATAGTGTATAAGTGTGTGTGAATGAGAGTGTATGGGTTTTTCCTAGTACTGGGTTTCAGCTGGAAGGGCATGCGCTGCGCAAAACATATACTGTAATAATTGGTGGTTAATTCCGCTGTGGCAACCTCTAAAATACAGACTAAGCCGAAGGAAAATGAATGAATGAATAAAAAAATATCATTTTTTTCCTTTAATATATTTCAATATCAATATACTGCATTGGCAAAGTTTTAGCATCGTTATTAAAGTCTTCAGTCTCATGAACATTTAGTTATCATTCTAATATGCTGATCTGGTATGAAAATGTATTATACTATCAATGTTGAAAACAATTGAGCTGTTTAAAACTTTTTAGGATTATTGATTAGAAAGTTCAGAATTACAGATTTTACTGTATAAATCTTTTGTAAGTAAAATTAAAATGTGTTTACTGTCACTTTACTGTTATTAGTTAAATAACGGTATAAATGCAAGGTGTACAAAGGCAGATTTAAATCTGTAGGTACAAAATTTATACTTTTTATAGTTATAAATAAGAATTGTAAGCAATAAATAAAAAGCATGTCAACTTCCCAAAGCAATGATATCAATTATGCAATGCTAGCACATACTGTAAACACATACTTTCAGAAAGACAGAGAAAACATTCACAAAAAGATTAACTAAAAAAACAAAGGTCAGAAAAAAAACATCACCATGAATACAGTAACAAGTGAGCACAGCTTTGAAAATCATTAACTTTCAATAGGAAATTTATCAAAACTTTTGATGCTAATGGTCCAATCTGATTCAATGATTTATGCTAAGCTAAGCTAAAAGTGTCCCGCCAGATCTGGATTGACTAAACGCATTCAAAAATGGAGATTTGTAAAATGAGCCTTAAAAAAGTGGAGTGTTGCTTTAAGCAGACCAGTGTTGCTGTACACATTAAAATGCCTTTTTGTAGATCCCTCACAGCACAGGTGATGTGTTCTACCCTTTGAGGCTCATACCTGCGGTTATTCTGACGTTGTGACGCACGGATCTGCATTGTAAGTGGTAATCGGTGCATCCATGTGGGATTTAGTGCCTCGCTCACAGCTCTTTAAACTCTATGTTGTGGAGGCAAGCCTGAGCTTTTCCCTCCTCTTTTCATTAGCCTTGCGGAGCAATGTGATTACAGCTTTTAAACATCAGAGCTATAATTATGTAATGAAGAAGAGAATCAGCCTGTATTTTAATGTCCTAAATGCTCCGTCACAGAAGAGTGCCATGCCATGATGTTGCTCTGTCACTTTTTTTTGGTTTACTAATCTCCGTCATAATCAAAGGCCATTTGATTTGTAATTCTATTAGCTTATTATAAATAAAATGTATATTTTATAACATGCCTTAAGTGACTTTTGATATTAAAATGTGATTGCGTACAATAGTTTATCATACAGTGCATCCAGAAAGTATCCATAGCACTTCTTCACTGTTTCCATATTTTTTTATGTTACAGCCTTATTCCAAAATGGATCTAATTAATTTATTTCCTCAAAATCCCACACAATACCCAATAATAACACTGTGAAAATAGTTTTTTTAAATGGTTGCAAATTTATTAAAAATAAAAAACCTGAAAAATCCCATGTACATAAGTGATCTCAGCCTTTGCAGTGAAGCTCTAAATTGAGCTCAGGTACATTCTGTTTTCACTGATCATTTTTGAGATGTTTTTAGCAGCTTTATTTTAATTCACCTGTGGTAAATTCAGTTGATTGGACATGATTTGAAAAGGCATAAACCTATATAAGTCCCAGAGTTGACAGTGCATGTCAAAGCACAAACCAAGTATGAAGACAAAGGAATTGTCTGTAGACCTCCGAGACAGGATTGTCTCGAGGCACAAGGCTGGGGAAGGTTACAGAAAAATTTCTGCTGCTATGAAAGTTCTAATGAGCACAGTGGCAAAAAGTGAAGAGCTAAGAATACTTTTCGGATGCACTGTATATGTAAAATGTCTCACCAACTTATTTGATTGCATGTGTTTTACTATAATTTTATACACTGTGTTTTGTCAGCCCTAATTTAACAGTAATATCAGTATTTGTATCAGTTTCAAAGGAGTGCTGAGGGGTCTGTGGAAATATCGGGAGAAAAAAAATTAAGTAAAATATGCAATAGGAGCAATTCCTGCTATGTGACATTTGCAGTAAAAACAAAAGTATGAATTCATATAGAAAGTATTTGTTAATATTATATTGAAACCTGTTTATAGTTTCCAAAACAACTAATGGCAGAGTTAAAGTATCAGTAAAATGTCAATCTGTAAACATCTTTTAGATTTTAAAAGAGGAAAATAAACGTGTTATTTATGTGACCAAAAGTTCTGTGTGTTTACAATATACAACATTATTTGTAAAAATTCTGTTAAAATAAACTGCACAATCCAAATGAAGCAATGCTAATCAAAATGATAAGAGTTAGCTCACTATAGAACAAACATGATTCATTTTAAAAAGCTTGATATCTCGCTGTTATAGATGTGACACATTGGCACTTGTGTGACTTTGGTAAATCAAATATAATTGTTTGAAAACACTGAAAGAGACAGATTTGAGTTTATATGATGATTATATGATTTTACAATACTGTGAAATACAAACCTACACAAAAATCCTAGAAAGGGTTTTGATATTTGGGTGAAAACTATTTTTTTCATAAGGTGAATATTTGCATGGAATTGCTCTTATAAATTTTCCAAAAGAAAAAAAAGAAAAAGGAAATAATAATAATATAATAATTAGAAAACAATTAAAAGAAAATTATTTTAAAAATAAAATAAGTAATTGAATGAATGAATGAATGAATGAATAAATTAAGCAATTCAATTCAATTAATCTTTATTTCTATAGCGCTTTTACAATGTAGATTGTATCAAAGCAGCTTCACATAGAAGATTATAGTAAATTGAAACAGTGCAAGTTCAGTTTTCAGAATGATAATTAAAGAATATATATATATATATATATATTTCACAAATGTTATGAATAGAATTTGTTTGAAGTTCCCTGGGGTGGTATAGATCAGTTCCCTGACTGCTATAATCTTTATTAAAATCTGTATGAACTGCTGTGATTCTAAATCAGAAATTAAATATTTATCAGGTCTTACAGCAACATAAAAACAGTCTGAAATTGAAAGCTTTATTGAAATAAAAAAACAGTAATTTTCTTCTTCTTATTATTATTATTGTTATTATTATTATTGATTATTATTATTATTATTATTATTGATTATTATTATTATTATTATTATTATTATTATTATTATTATTATTATTATTAGGCTGTTGATTCCACTGGCAACCCTTAAATAAATAACAGCGCCATCTTGTGTTCAATCTTCTACAGTGCACCAAAAGACAAAAAAAAAAAAGAAAGGCTAGTGGAGTGTATCCAATTATGGACTATTTATATATACTTTTTGTAATATATTGATTGAATGTAAAGGATACAGTTTGTGTGTGTTTGTAGACTGGTTTTGGTGGTTTTCAGAGACAGCCTTTTGTATAAAGACATGGTTATGACATAGTTGTACTCTATTATAATGGTTTGTGCGGGCATGCCTAATATCTTTGTAATTCAAATGCTTTAAAATCATATTTGATGGGGTCTTTTGACATTACATTCAAATATTGCCACAAATATTGAGGATTGGGTTTAGTGGTAGGGTTAGGGTAGGATATAGAATATATTACTCTTAATGAGTCACCCAGAGACCACTAACACCGCGTGTGCGTGTGTGTGTGTGTGTGTGTGTGTGCGTGTCCGTGTGTGTGTGTGTGTGTGTGTTTTTGTGTGTGTGTAAGTGAATATGAACTGTTGTCTGAATATTGTTTTGTGTTCTTCAGGATGTGTGTGTGTGAGTTGAGCTAGAGCTCAGGCCAGTGATGGAGGCAGGACTGAACTGCAGCTCTCACTGTGAATCTGGCGTCTGCTTCATCAACGCTGGAGTGAACAGCCAGCAGGCCTGGGACGTCCTGCAGAGACTCTGTGCACTCACAGCGGTATACACACACACACACACCTATTCCTATTCTTGTTCCTATCTAGCAGCACCCAGCGACACCACCGAAGAGCTTACATTTTAAATTAGTTTTTCCTTTAAAACTGCAGAAGCATCATTCACACTACTAAAATGATATTACTGTATTTTGGGGGATATTATTGTCTAAATATTATTTCTGAGTGTGTTTTTTTTTTTTTTTTTTTTTTTTTTTTTGCTCTGGTACCTTGATTTAGGCCCAATGCTGATGAATAAATGTGTCCCTAAAACTGCCAGTAGGTGGCAATAAATATTTCAATTAATGAGTGACTCACAGAATCACTCATTCAAATGATTTGTTCAAAGGAGCTGATTCAATTACAGCAACAAGCAAGTGACTGTCTTTATACCACCGAATGAATCACTGAATAAACAAATTAATCAAAAAAAGTTCTCTACAAATGTGCTCTAATTTCTGCAGATGCTTTGTTTGAAACTATTTTCATTGACAGAACAATGAAAACAGACAACACAGTGTATAAATTTGATACTTCAATACATTTTATTTTTTAATAACTATCCCTGCAGGCACAGAACGTCAACACGACGTCAGAGTGATGTTGTACCACAACGTCATCGGAACATTGGATTTTGGTTGGAAATTAAAATCGGGTCTACATCAGAACCCAAAGTCAGACTGACGTCAGTGGCCAACATCAGGCAGACGTTGGATTTTGGTTGGAAATCAAAATGGGGTTGACATCAGAACCCAACGTCAGACTGACGTGAATGTCCAACATTAGGCAGACGTTGGATTTTGGTCGGAGATGAAAATCGGGTTGACGTCGGATTCCAACACCAGACAGTCATCAATGTCATCAGGCAGATTGCAGATTAATTCCACAACCTAATACCAACCAAAGATCAATGTCTACGGATATTCCACTTTGACATTGTATGGACGTCACAATATGATGTTATTATAATGTTGGAATTTGGTTAGTTAAAGCTACAAATTTAAACCAACCAAAGATCACCGTCTACTGATGTTAGACTTTGACGTTGTATAGACTTCACATTATGACATTAAGATGACGTTGGACTTTGGTTAGTTAATTCCACAACCAAACCAACCATCCACAATCAACCAAAGATCAACGTCTACGGATGTTATACTGACATTGTATGGACGTCTTATTATTATTGTTAAACTGAGATAGGAATTTGCTCCCCTGATGTCGCAACCAAAATATAGCCAAACACCTACATCATATGCACGTGCCTGCTGGGCATTGAACAAAATCAATATTATATTTGCAATCACAATCATGCACTGACAATCACAACATAGCACTCTTGCGTCTGTGATATTATTAAACTAGATTAGTCAACAGTTGAAGTAGATCACAAAAGTTTTATTTAATTGTCCCAAGAAAAAGAATGGGTGTTGTTTAAAAGTTTCAGGACAACATTAATAAAAAGTTGTGATTTTTTTCAAATGTTGACTACTGTATATCATATATCATATCATATCATATTTTTAGCTTTCGTAACTTGATTTTTAAGCTCATTTTAACTTAAATTTAATAGTTTTCATCATTTAGTCAATGGTTTTGGACTTTCAAGATGTTAGTTTTTAACAAAGTCAGTGGCATACTTGATACTGTCTGTCACCATTATATATGTGACCAATTGGGATTTTATTATAGACAATACAAATTTCACACCTGTAAAATTGTTTTGTTTTTAACAAGAAATTGCTGCTTTTATATCAGAAAGAACAGATCAAATTGATCAGGAGTATTGTAATGATTTCTACAAATGAAATTCAGCTTGAAAAGCACATTTAAGATTGTAATATTACTATTTTTATTATATGTCCATCAAATTTATAGAGATTAAGTAAGCATACTTCTTTCAAAAATATTAATAGAACTTACTGACTGCAAAATGTTTATGTACAGTATCCTGCACTGTAAACAATGCAGAGTTCCACACAGTTCATTCACGTTGTCCCAATACAAATTGATTAAGTTAACATAACACATTTAAGTAGACTAAATAAATAATAAAGTAATCATAATCTCAAGAATTGTGTTGGTTTAGCTAATTTTAAATAAATAGTTTGACCTTTAATGTGTGTATATATATAATATTTTGCCGTTTGTCTGAATCTAGAGCAGTGTGGATGTCCAGAGTCGGTCTCTGTCTCCTGCTCTTCGTGCTGTCGTGTGGACGCTGCTGTCTTGTGGGATTTTACTGGCTCTCTTCTTCCTCATTTTCACTCTGCGCTTTAAAAACAACAGGTACTGAACCCTCAAACATGAAATTGGGGGGCTCATTTGTTGCTTTACATGTGGTCTTTTTGTTCTTTAACCACAGTAGTCAACCTGAGTTTTGATTGTGTGCCTCTGACACAGGATAGTGAAGATGTCCAGTCCCAATCTGAATGTGCTGACCCTCTGCGGCAGCGTCCTCACATACAGCAGCGGTTTCTTATTCGCCATAGAGGAGAAATCACTGCTGTCAGGAGCAGGAGCAAGAGCTGTATTGCAGGTACATTTAGATCTCAGCTTATTGAAATACTCTTTTGTCCTGGTCTACATGCAAACCAATAACCCTACAGAGCAAGCAGACAAAACTTTTATATCAAAATGTTATCATTTCTGAATCTAACTTTAGTAGTTTATTGGTTATGTTAGTTGTCATATTCAGGAAATCGTTTAAAAGCGAAGAACAATTTTCCAAGAGGTTAGCGGTAAACGTGTGGCTCATATTATTTTCTCAAGATGTATGATTTTGATCTTCTGCTTCTCAAGATGATAAAATGGATTTAGATTTCTTTGGGTCAAGAAAATGTCAGAGTTTGTGGTATATATCCTCCCTTACTGCAGAAATATTTGCTGTCTGGGTGCATTTTGATCTACAGTAAGAATTCCTGTCTAATATCACACATGAACACAATTAATGACTTTAAACAGCATGGAGAAATTGGAGTTGAAGGTAAAAATATGGCTGTGACAATAGGTTTATGCATAAGGTTTTTACCACACTGTGAAAAAGAAAAACAGATTACATGACCATGAGCATTGTGGTTTTTTTATACATAATCAGGTTAAGAATGTACATATAAACTCACTAACACATTTACACATGCACAGCTCTTTTTATGTGGAGTTCCTATAGATGTAATACATGTTATACTGTCTAAAGTATCCCATTAACCCAACTCTATCCCTCAATCTAACCCTCACAGGAAACAATGTGCGTGTTTAGATTTCCAAAATTCCTCATTCTTATGAGCCATTTTCTATATGGTGTCCAAAAAATAAATAAAAATGTCCAAAGTCTACGGGTATTGCGCCACTACTATTTGGTCCCCACAACATTAGGAATACAAGGCACACTCAGAAAATGACGAGTTTGTTCAAACTACTAGTATAAAAAAAAAAAAATGAACCTACACAATTCTTTAGGTTTTTAATGTATTTAACTAATAAGTTTAATTCCTTCAACCTTCTGTTAATTTCTTTCATCTTCATCAATTGTGTAGAACTCAGCATTTTTTACAGATTATGCACACACACACACACACACAGAGTCTTTTAAACAAGTTAACAGGTCTGTTAAAGTTGACTTTTTATCAGGACAAAAATTCAAACACATTTTTTTACGAAACCAGAATAACATTAATAAGTGTCCAAAGCGCAGTTAAATTAATCTTTGTATTTGATGTCTTTGTAATGTAATGTGCTTTATAAAGTAATGTTTGTAAGTTGGTACTTAACCGTTTCATCTTTGAGGATGTTTATAAAATATCTGTTTTAAGGTTATAATAAACGTGTGTGATCACACCCATATAAGTGGCCGATCGCACCCAATGCACTTTTCCGTTCTAAAAATACGAGGCACACCACACTGCCTTTTTTGTTAACAAGAAAAAAAAGAAGCGAAGTGTGCCTTTTATCTCGCTGGGTAATGACTGAATCAGTGTTGCTGTTGATATTCTTATAATTTTAATATTTAATACTGTTGTACTATTCAAGATTTGTGAAGTCATTACACCTCGGATTACTCAAAACAGCAACCACTACTTTCTCTTCCATCTTCAAAAGTCTCCGTAGTTGTCTTGACACAATGCAGGCACCAAATTGCAGGCACTTCTCTGGAAACCCAGCCTCTTCTTTCATTTGATTGGAAACTATAAGACACGACTGACATAACGTGCTATTTCCCAGTGTTGCCAACTTATCAACTTTGTCACTATTTAGCGACTTTTCAGACCCCGCTAGCAACAAATTTTCAAAAAAGCGACTAGCAAATCTTGCAACTTTTTTGTGTGTTACTGGAGATTTTTACAGACTGTCATTTGTCCATACTGTACCATTCCTATTATTTTCAATGAGCTGCGGGTGATGCCGTAGCCCCTTTCCGCCTCAGAGCACTGACAGGCGGTCCAGTCAGTCCTCGTACAGCAGTCTCTCCCACCTGCAGCCTGAGAGCAGATCACTCCTCTGCGTACCGATGGCAAATGATGTAGCACCTGCAGTGTGAGGTATTTCCATTGTACAGTCAAACAAATCTGTTTCTCCTTTATAATAACAATTTAATTTGACTGTTTATTCTTTTCTTATTCACAATCACGGATATTGTAGTGACGGTTTCAAATTTCGATCACGTCTGAGAGATTCTACACATCTAAATTGATATTCTTTGTTCAAACAGCAATAATTGTAGCTAAAATGACATGCATATATAAAGCGTAGTGCAAATATAAATACCCCTTTAATAACCTTAGGCTGTTAAACAAACAGAAACGTACAACAATGATGACGTCAGTAATATGCAAATTGACATATGACATAATTTAGTGACTTTCAGCAACTTTTCGGGCAGAGCTTAGCACCATTTCATTGAAAATCATTGGCAACAGTACTTTTTTTCCCTCAGAGCTGACTGTTTTTAACTGCGAGGGCACAGAGCGAAACAGCAAATGTGAGGCGCATGCGCAAAACACTCATGGTTGTTAGTAAACCATTCAAAAGATGCGCCTCCCACTGCAAAAAAGGTGTTCTGTGTGATCAGCCCCTTAAGCAACTTGCTGCATGGCTTTTTTGAGTTCACTCAACTTACAGTACATTGAGTCAGTTCTTGGGTTAAAAGTTGAGTCAACTCAAAAAAAAAAAAAAGCTGTGCCACAAGATCCCTTACAATATTAAATCTTTTGCAGTGTATAACTAAAACTATAGATTGTTGAATGATTGATTCTGATTGGCTGATGATCATTTTAGGTCTACGCTGAATGACTTTTTGAAGCCGAATCAGTTAAAAACCCAATTCAACTAAATAGGTTTTAAATGAGATTTGTACGAAACTACTAGTAATACACATGCAAGTAGTTTGAGGACAAAAACCTTTAAAAAACACAATGTATGGTATCTTTAGGTGTGGTGACTGTAGCAAACACGGAATAAATGACTCGTCCATTGAATTATAAGAAAATAATTTCAACGGCCCATCATATTGTACTTTGGATATGTTGTTAAATGTTTTATTTATCTGCTTTGTAATAATCAATGATGCTGACATGGCACTAAACACACATACATCAACTGATGGAGGTTTAGAAATGAAAGCCCCTTTCTTTCTGTACCTGCCTTTGACAAAGTATATCTGAAGCATTCCTAAATCACAGCTGTTCTTTTGTTTATCTGGCTTATATTGCTCTGAAACACTAAACAGCTGTTTATATTTTACAACACCATAAATCCTCTGTTAATGTACCGAACATGTTTAACAAAACTCTTGTTTACTTTAAGCTGCAAGGCGACTTAAACCATACATCTGTGATTGATTACATTACATTGTTTACGCCAGACATGGCTCTGGATTTAGCTGAATATGTTTGTGGGTGTAAGTGTGTACCTTGAATTCCTTACATTGAGGCGACCTCATAATATCCCCACAAGTATAGCAATACCAGTACATTTTTGACCTTGCAGGGACATTTGTTTGGTCTCGATGAGGAAAATGACTCCAAAATCACACAGAAGGAAGTATTTTGAAACTGTAAACACGCAGATTGTTTTATGTACAGTAAGTGTTGGGTTTAGGGGTAAGTTTGGGGTAATAGAATAAAGATAACTGTTTTTGGGCCCCAGATTAAGAAAGGGACTAAGCCAAAAAGAAAATGAATGAATGGTGATATTAAAAATGTGGGTGCACTTTTTTTTAAAAGTATGTGTACATAACATGTACTCGTACTGTTTACTGTTCAGTTTTAGAAATAGTACGTAGGTATTACCCAGTTTATGTAATGACTATTTTTTACTAAAGTTGAAAAATGTAAATGTATGAACTCCGTGATTCATTTATTAGAACACTTTTTCCAGAATACTTACACTCGAGATACAAAGCATTGTGGATTATGTTGTAGCATTCAATATCATACCATTTTATTAATTACAATACAAAACATTTTATTAATATGAGATTCAACAAAAGTTATTCATTCATTCATTTTCTTTTCTTTTAATAAAGTCCCTTTATTAATCTGGTGTCGCAACAGCAGAATGAACCATAAATTTAGCCAGCAAATGTTTTACACAGTGGATGCCCTTCCAGTCGCAACCCATCACTGGGAAACATCCATACACACTCATTCATTCACACACACACACTCATACACTACGGTCAATTTTAGCTTACCTAATTCACCTGTACCACATGTCTTTGGACTTGGGGAAACTCAGAGAAAATCCCACGCGAACATGGGGAGAACATACAAACTCCCACTGCACCACCGCATCGCCTCAACAGAAGTCATTCTGCAGCTAAATAACTCTGTTCTGGTTGAAAATCAGCTTGACCGACAAAAATATTTAAAGTTTCAGTTGCATAAAAATAGATTTGAATGATCAGTGATTTAATATAAACTAAAGTATGTAAAATATAAATCCAATTTCAGTAACAAAGTTAACTCTCCCATTCAACCCTATTGTTGAGCACTGTAATTAAAAAGCTGTCCTGCTATGTTTTCAACATCATATACAAATAATAGCATCATAGCAAAATGTTGATGTTTGTGCTACATGGAAATAAAGATAGAAAAAAGTAACAATGCAACTCTAAAGCCCTATGTGCATTGTCAGAAAACACCTGTAACTTTATTCAGTTGAAGTGTATTATAATGAAAGGTTTAGCACTTTTTTGCACACTCCACAACTGTTTATATATAATTTCATAAATAAAATTATTGAAAAATTATAATAAAACCAAAAATGTAAATAAATGTCAAATTGAAATGACTGAACAAAAAAAAAAAAAAAAGATTAAAAAAAAAAGGAAATATGTTTGAAACTGGGAAAAACATGGGCATAGGGATGTATACGTATGTGTAACCTTACCTATTTCATTAAAAAAATGCCAGAGCAATTGGTGGTTCATTCTGCAGTGGCAACCCTTGATAAATCAAGGACTTAAACAAAGGATTAAGTAAATATATAACCTTATAGAAAAAAAAATGTTATAATAACAAATATATATTTTTACGTTGCTTTAACTATGTTAATTTTACTAAGTTAATCCGGTTTTAACAATTTTTTTAAGTTATATAAAGTTTAATTTAATATTTTTAGTCAAGTTGAGATGACTAGAAAAATTATTTGATTCAACTAAAAGTACTATAATTTTATTGCGTGGTATTTAGCCAGTTTTTTGTGCCTCAGTTTGTAGGTAGGTTCTTTATATGGACTTGTCTGGAATGCACGTGAGATGATGATTATTGGGTTGAACGTTCAGGATAAGACCTCGAACATACTAAAAGCTCTTAAGAGCTAAGAAACCTGGCCATGGTTAAGTTCATCGGTCTAATATAATGATAAACATTTAATCTCTGACAGACAGAATAAACATTATTTGCCTTTTTTGTGTATGTACTTCCTGCCTATATTAACAGAAAATGAATGTGTTTTAACCATTGGCTGTAAAAGATACAGACATACTGTAGTATCCGTGATGTCATCCATAGGTACCAGGCTGAAAACATGTTTTTATCAGCTGTAAAATGGCCAATTTACCATTACAGTAATCTGGATTTCCTGGAGCCTGCCCCCAGTGGCGAGATGACGAATTGCAGTTTTAGTTACTTCCGTACTGACTTCTCGAGGGAGAGCGGGAGGTTGCCGATTGGTTTTAACACTGCTGCCAGAACAGAAATAATAATAAGTTGTTCTCATTTTAAATGTGCTTCTCTTTTTCTGTCCCATCTCAGGCACGGATGTGGACACTATGTATTGGCAGCTCTCTGGTGTTTGGCCCTATTCTTGGGAAAACCTGGCGGCTCTACAGAGTCTTCACTCAGCGTGTGCCTGACAAAAGAGTGGTGAGTTCTGATAGATGTTTGTATGTTATGTTAGGAATAAAGTAAAAACAGGAGTTTGTTATCACACAATAACCAGCAGTCCTATAAGACTGAAGAGCTTTATTCAGTGAAAACAACCATCCTGGATGTACTTTATCCTGCTTATTACATTTCTACCTGCCACAAAACATAAAAAAATACATTTAAAAAATTACACACAAAACACTGTTCTAAGCCATAATAATTTAATAAATATTTATGAATAAATATTCTAAATAAAAAAGCAAATCTGGCCAAAACAAAAACAGCTGATCGAGCATACAATAGCTTTCGCATTATTCAGATACAGGATGGCGCCAAACAGTCAATTAACAGTGAAAAACCATGATGTGACAGACAGGCAGATATAAATATGAATGTGGATGTAAGTGTATGGATTTGAATGTATGACTGATGGTCAATGTATTTCAAAGTTCCTGGATGAGACTGTGTTATTTAAGATTGTTATCTTAGAATAACATCGCCTACCTTGAAATGACTCAACTGATCAGGAACAAGTGTTTCAGACAGTCGTGTATTAATCCTGTCACTGGCTTTACCTTGTTTCTCTGTTTGGTTGTGTTTCAGATTATTAGGGACATCCAGTTGATGGGTTTGGTTGCTCTGCTGGTCTTAGTGGACATTGTTGTTTTAACAGCATGGGGTTTGATGGATCCTGCCAAGTGCTCTCGGTCTGTCAGTGCAATGGTGAAGGTAAACTCATTTGTTATCCAAGCATGGCTGTTCAAATGGATCATGCATGTCATGCTTCAAAAAGTGTGTGCTTCAATTGTGCGCTACATTTGAAACCCTAGTGAAAGTATGAATTTTTATGGGTCATAATTTTAGGAAAGTCAGTCATAATATCCTAAACAAAGGGGTATAATAAAAGCCATCAATAAAAATGTATACAAACTCTAATGATAAATGGGTTGTGAAGTTTGTGCTGTTTCTTATTTTTGTTAGGTTATAGACCTGGATTCATCCTACTCTCTGTCCCAGCTAGATTCATGTTCTTCTCTCTACTCACACCTGTGGATAATCCTCATCTCTGTACTTAAGGTAATAGGAAAAATTATATATTATGCATTAAATATACAATATAAATTATTATAATGTAATATAAATAGTGGTAATTAAAAAAATAACCGGGCAATTAAAAAAAACATCGCTGTTAATCTATTCTTAAAGTTGGGTTGGGAGCTGGGTCTATTCCACGCAAACTATGATGACTTTCAACTTAATATTTTAGCACGGATGTATACCTGGCCGAATTGCACTGTAGGTGGCGAGAACGAGTCTTCGAACTTGTGTGTATTCTTACTGTGAAATTACCACATCAAACATGACCTGCTAACATAGATGCAGTTCACTAGAGTGAATTTGATTAATGTTAGCTCCACATCTAACTATTAGGGACCTGTGGAGTTTATGCGTTAAAGTAAAACATATACAAATCAAATGGACCGGGTGCTTTTAAAAATGAATGACGATGAATGAAAGTCAAATCTGTGAGCTGTCTGACAAAAAAATCTAAAAAATCAAATCAGCAGGATGCCCTTCTTGATCTTTCACTTCGAAGACATACTGACTGTGCTTACATGGACATCTGTAATCTCGGCATTTGCCTTAATAGACAATACAATAATTAAGATGTTTACGTGAATTGCTTTTATGTAAGAGCTTCCTGTAATTTTGGGGTGACTTAACTGCAGTTCCGCAGTTTCACATTCACTCAGGAACTTTTCTTTCATGCCCCAGTGACAAACTGGAGTATTAGACGCAAAAAAGGAGTAAGGACTGGTGTGAGTGTTATGGAATAAAATAACACAAGCCAAATGGAAAGAAAAACTTCTGCATTTTGCCATGTGTGTGTGTGTGTGTGGTATTTATTGTCAGTCGCATGAGTGGATCTAGTTTAATTGCGGTGTTTACTTCAATAATGCCACTAAGATATGCATACTCCACATGTCTTAATTCCATTTCTGTTTAGTTCAGTTATGACTTTAGTTGGATTAATGTAATCAAAAATTGCTGTTTGGAGCATCTTATAGAACATAATTTATTTTCATCACCAATTATCACAGGAGAACAGTTTATCAAGCAGTTTGTGATGGATTTTGTAAACAGGAGATGAGCCCCTGGTCTTATGCGCCACCTGGCTTGAGAAACCCAATCTCAAAGACTTACTTTTAGTCATTATTTGGGGAGCACATATATTCTGAATGCTTTCGGCAGAATTCAAATAAGCCATTTTAATCTAGATTAATCTAGATTAATTCCAAGATTACAGTGAGATTAATCTAGATAAAAAAATCTATACCCACCTATAAATATAATATAATATAATATAATATAATATAATATAATATAATATAATATAATATAATATAATATAATATAATATAATATAATATAAAATTTTTCCATTTCTGGGTTACAGCTAGAAGTGCATGCGCTGCATAAAACATGTGCCAGAATAGTTACCGTTTTATTCTGCTATGGTGACCCCTGATAAATAAGGGGATAATAAATGAATAAATGACCCATATAATGTGTTTTTTGCTATTGCCAAAATAATTTATATGCAAGACACAAATAAATAATAATACTATAACCAAAAAATTATATAAACAAACTGTAAACGTTATGGACTTATTGTTTATTGCATGTCATTTTAATTTTTTGGCAATTGATTTAAATTTACACAAATGCTTAAAAGAGAGTTTTCATTGCCAACCTTTATTTGGAATTCACACTAAATGTATACAGGTATTGATTACAAGAACAACAAAATGCATCACTCTGAACTTCCTCTCTGGTAATTCAGGGCAGCCTCCTCCTGTATGGCACGTATCTTGCCGGCCTGACGAGCAATGTGAGCTTACCCCCCGTAAACCAGTCTAAGACCATCATGGGTGCTGTCTGTCTGGTCACCATGTCAAGCGCCGTGGCTGTACCCATCTCCCTTTACCTCTACTCTTGGCCTAATGTAGTCTACAGCGTAATATCTGGAGCGATCTTCATCTGCACAATGGCCATCAACTGTCTTCTGTTTGTCCCTCAGGTATGTCCTGCTCAATTTGCAACCAGTGATTTTCAGTCAAACTCTGGTTCAATTTTAGTCCAGACATTTCACTTTTTTTCTAGTCTGAAACAACTTAAGAGGTTTGTGCTGAGCTACAACCTATCAATAATTCTACAACAGGAGTTGGAGCAGGTGATGAGTCAGCATCCAACATCAGATGTGTTTACACAATGTGCCCTGTCTGTTTGGAGAGGACACTGCTAGTGTCAGCTCTTTATGACACTGGAGTTTGGGTAATATTACACCAGCTCTTTGAAGATAGAATAGAGGCAAGGATCCATTAGGGTCTGCCCTTTAAATAGTAAGTAGTTTGCTCTGACCTGTATCTTAAATAATATTAATAATAATAAGTTTATTAAAGTATAAATTGCCATTGTCAATTTATTAGTCCATTTTTTATCTAGAAATATATTCAGTAGGTGGTGTGAAACTGGCAGGTCTAACCAACTGATAGACAGTGTAAGGGTTCAAAAGACACCTTTTCTTGTAAAATAAGTGTTTATACCAACATATAGCCTAAACGTAATAAAATTTGACACTTTAAAGTCTAAAGCGCATGGCACAAAAGCATTAAGGGCATGTCCGAATCCAGTTTTTGCTTTTTTAAGAAGGGAAAAATACACTCTGCAACCTGGTGCATGGTCTAACAGGGTTGTGCTTATTCTTTTAATGAGTGACAGGTGTGTTTTGAGCATGATGTGCATCAAACCAATTAGAGTCTCTTGTGTGTTGCTGTACATCCTGTGTGTATTAAACAATTGGACCTGCATTTGGAACCCCCCCCCCCCCCCCTTTCACTATCGTCTGTGCCAAACAAACCACCCCCGCTCTGCAATTCACTAATTAAGCACTGCGCACATAACTCATGCGCTCTGTGCTGGACTTTAGACCAGCTTTCAGTTGGTCAGTGGCGCAGTCTATTCTATTACTTCAAAATAGCAACGCGTCACCTCCTTTTTAGACCAGAACACCCATGAGTGCACAAAGTGGAGCAAATGGACTTGCAATTTAAACTACGTGGTGCAAAACGTTAAAATGACTGTTGCACTGGTCTGAAAATAGCAACAAAACGCATCAAAATCTTCTTGCGCCTTATTGCGCCAGGAGCTCCAGGCATGACAAATATTTTTACTAATTTCAGTCTGGTGCTGGTCGGAAAAGGAAGTGTGTTAAAGTGCATTGTTGGAGTGTTATTATTTTGAGGCTAGTCTAAAGTCAATGACATTTTTTTGTTTGTTTTTTATTGAAAGAGCGAGTTAGTGATTAGAGGGTCTAAAACATGCAAACACGTCGCTTATGATACACATGAGGATTCACAGCAGCACACAGAAATATCTTTAAATATGAAAATGAAAGGATTGAATTGAAAAAGATGATTATTAATAGTATGACTACAACTACGACTACTACTAGTAATAAGATTACATTTCATTTATGATGTGCTTTTCTTAAACTCAAAGCACTATATCATGTACAACAAAGGCAAAATTACAGTATTTATTTTATTGTCTACATAAATATAAAATTTGCTCTCTCCTCCCATGCCTTGTTCATCTCAGGCAGCTCACGGATCAGTTTCCTCTCTAGAGAAGCATTCATTTATTTATTTTTTTGCTTACAAAATCTACTATGTTAAAAGATAATGTGGGATGGGATATGAGACTCTTATTGGTTTACTCCATGCTATGCCCAAAACATACCCATAACTCATTAAGAAAATAAGGACAACCCTTTAGGACCATGTTCCGTGCGTGAAAAATATGTTTTTTCCATTCCTAAAATAGCAAAAGTGGATTCTGAAATGTAGCTTTAGACCATTTAAAAAAGAGCCCATAGTGTGCATTTAAATGGGTGCCTAGGAATGCACATGGAAGTTAAAAAGTGAGTACATCTTTGGGAATTGTATGTCGGTTGAAATAGCCCATCATAGGAAATCACACAAGATACTGTATAAGTCAGAGTCCACTCGCACGCTGGTATTTTACAATACCTGCACACCAAGTGGAGTCCGTACTTTTATCCCTTAAAATTAATAAAAGTGATGGTAATATCTCTTAAAAGCTCTTAAATAAAACTCAACAATCAACAACAGACATGGATTGCATACATGGATACATGAAAATGCTAATTGGTCCCCCCCCCACCTTTATTCACTCACACCAATTCTACCTGCTCCACCTTCACTTATTGGCTATTAGTAAATGCTACACAATGACAAGTACCAATCTTGAATAAATAGTCAATTGGGAATGATTCTGAGGGTAAATTCATGGTTATAATTAATGAGACCCATTGCTGTAATCCCTTTACATTGTGCCTTCATTTTGTTATACTTTAGTTTTCACCACATGGTCTAATATTTTTTATTTTAAAATCTAGCTGACCCAGTGGAGACATTTTGAAGAGGAGACGAACTCTCATCCCAGTCAAATGGCCAAATACTTCAGTAGTCCCAGCAAAACCACAAACTCCATGTATAGCGAGGATGAGATCTACTATCTGCTTGGAGAGAACGACTCAATGAAAAGACTTATCAATGAGGTAATCGGGGTTGTGATGTGATTTTTGAGTGTGTATGTTACATATTTATTTCACTGTATCCCTAATGCAAAGACATTGTTGCTTACTGTATATGTTGTTTCAACACTAAGTTGAAATTGTTGCTTAAAAAATATAATGTAGCATTCATTAGTGAAAGGTTTTTTTTTTTATTTGGTACATATGTACTTTTTTTGTGTTTTCATGTTTGCATTAGAACCAGGACTGTAAATTAAGTTTCATCAATTGCGTTTTCAACTAACTCTGCAAGTGGCTAAAGTAAACAAGTTCACAAAGTTTCAGATTCTGTTCAAAGCTGTATTTAGCATTGTCTACTTGTGATTAGATCAACAAAAACAGGTACAGTAGGTCCTTTGAGCAGGTGTAAATAGGGCATTAGAAACACAACACATAGGCCCCGTTTACACTAGTGCGTTTTAGTTTTAAAACGGCGTTGTAGAATGAAAACGATCCGCATCCACACTCGCGTTTTACCCAGCGTTTCTGAACAGCTCTCCGTCCACACCAAAACGCTGAAAACGCACATCACGTGACCACACAGACACACTCGGGCAAGCGCTCCAGCATTCTACCCAGATGAGAGCTCTGCTTGTCGGACTGCTCATCACGCATCTCCCGCTGGATCTAATCTCACTATATTTGCTAAACGTGATATTTCATTCATGTTGTTGTCTTTATCTAACGACATAGGCCAATTCCCTGACTTTGGTCATTGGAATCTATTAAGTTACTTGTTCACGGGTAACATGTTTTGGTTAAGCGCAAAGATAAGTTAATGATTAATCCAGGCACATTGACTGATCGCTTGCCTTTATTTCCTACAATGTATAAACTTATTGTATGTTATACTTTTATAATTATCGATTATTAAAACTGATATTCAGCAAAAGAGAGGGTGCGTTTCGTATTTTCACTGAAATTGAAAGGAGGCAGCTGTTATAGGCTCCGTTTTGTTATAAATATCCACACAGTGAAGATGACGCTCATATATGCAGCACGACGCCTCAACATTTCTGCTGTCTGTTAAGTTGCTAATATTAAAAAGAAAATAGGCAGTTCCTTAAATCATGTTTACATTTTATTGTTGAGAAAGTGAAACAACGTAGCCAAGGTGATGTAAATGAGGTTATAAAGTACACTGTTCCCTTTGAAGATTTACCCGTGTCCTCGGTATGTTTTCCATATCAAACTGAGAAGGGGGAGACTGCAGCCTTGATCAAACTTGCGAAGTCTTAACTTACAAGAAGAGGATGTGAGACTGAACTGTGTGTGGGCTACTTAATATTGAGGAAAAGCCCCAATCAGATAGGCGAACGTTTGCAGCCCCGCCTCCGTTTTCAGATGTCTCCGTCTTTCCCCATCCACACTGAGACGGAGCAGCAGCGTTTAGGAATGAAAACGGCCTCTCCAGCGTTTTCAAAAAGCTCCGTTTTCGGCGCTCGAGAACTCCGGCGTAGTGTGGACGGATGGCGTAACCGTAGCAAAACTTATGCGTTTTCAAACTAAAACGCACTAGTGTAAACGGGGCCATAGACACACAGACAGATAAAGTCTATAGGATTGTATTGGGTTTGATCATAGATTAAGGGAAGACCATCAGTTGGTTTACCCCTAAAGGCTGAGGGACTGTGAAGTGAATGGTGCTTAAAATCTACATGAGAACTTACATGAAGAGATGGTCCTGGTTTATTGGATTTATACAAGCCAGCAGTAAAAATCTGAGTAAAGCAATAGAACTAGTTTTGTCCTCACAGTGAGTACCAGTTTGAGTAAGCGATGATAAATTCCAGTGTTGGGTGGGATAGCAGTGTGTTTTGCGTCACTAACCTACAAGTAAGGCTGGAGCCTTTGTTTTACATTTCCTTAAGGCACTGCTTTGTGATCTCACATCCTGTTAAATTGGCACCTAACCCATTCATCTACTTAGTGAAATGAGCCATTCTAGATAATAACAGTGATTAAAGTGATGAGTTTAAACCATTTTCCCCATGTGTCCTCCATATTTGCAGAAAAATGCAGTTATTGATAGCCTACAGGAACAAGTGAACAATGCCAAGGATAAGCTGCTCAAACTGATGACTGCTAGCCAGCTCTTGGATGAGAGAGAAATGGACTCGTCCAACACTAACCTCAACTCCACCTCCACCCAAACCACAGTGGTATCTCCCGATTCTCCAACACTTGTTCTAAAACAATACTCAGAAGTCGCTCCCACCAGAGTTCTCTCTCCACCTCCCTATGTACCTCCTCCACCAATTCCCATCCACACTACCTCAAATGCAACATCCCCTGAAGGTCCAGGAGCTACAGATGAGTCTTCACCACACCTGAGGACACAAGGTAACTCTTTCCTTGAAGTTGAAAGCCTAAAAGGAAACACAGAAGACAATATCAGATACTCCGGTCTTGGAAAAGAAATCTCTGAGAAACCACAAGATGTGCCTTTGGATCAGGAAAAATTAACTGAGGATTTTCCTCCTCCAGCTTCTACTCAGTTTAATTTACCTCAGGTTGAGTCTCCAGTGCCTTCAGCCTCTGTTGAGCTCCCTGCCATTTCCCCAGCAGGTAGACTGGGCTTTGTGACCAATGAGCAGCTGGTGGAGATCTTGCAGGATCTGAGTATAGATGCTGTAAGCAGCTCTGTCAAATCACCCGACAGGGCGAGGAGCCCATCTATCAATCCAGATGAACTAAGCATGACTCTTTCTCCTCAATCCCCTCTACAGTTCTTCTTCCCACCCATCTCCCCTTATGTCATGCGGAAACGCAGGCCTCCATTTTACTCTTCAAAAGGTGGACCTCCACCTTACTACTTTCCAGGCTCGGTTCCTCCAGGTCGAAGGAGGGGACTTCCAGACCTTGAAAAGTTCAGGGATGATGACCCTATAACAAGTTCCACTGGTAACCCTCAAAGACATGACTTGTTGCGTGAGGAAAGGAGGAGTAAAAGGGCAGAGAAAGCACAGACTCAGAGCAACTCAGGACAGGACAGTTGGCAATGTTCTTCTCACAAATGTTCGATTACTCCTTTCATGGGACATGTTCCTCAGCCAGCCTCCGCTGGACTGATAGAGGAGGTTAAACACTCTAAGGAGCCATATGACTATTCAGACTCAGACTCCAGCAGCTCGGAGGACTACTGTTACTACCAGCGGTCCTACTGTAGAGCATGTCATCACCCCTATGACTCTACAGACAGTCTCACCTCAGGGACATCAGACAGTGAGGACGAGGATTTCTACCGCTTATCACATCCTGTCGTGAACTTTAAAGTCGATGTTAAACCAACCTTTGTGTGATCTACAAATCCATTGTTTGTTTTTTGAAGTGATGTGATATTTTATTTTGTTTGGCTGGACCTTATTAAGTTATTGATATATACATGCGATAGTTAAAAGATTGATTTTTAAATGTTTTTCAAAGAAGCTATGCTAATCAAGGCTGTGTTTATTTGATCATGCAGTTAAAATACTGTAGTGGTAAGGTCTACTTAATATTTAGCTTTACAACCACATGAATTAGTTACATTTTTACTGAAATAAAATAGAAAACAGATTTTTTGAAGTTCTTTAAGGTAAAAAAAAATGGTTCACAATAAAATTCCATACTAATGCAGCCTTGAGCATTTACACAATGGAGTTTAGGCACCTGAAGATGCAAACATTTACATACTGGTTTTAAATGATGCCATTATTATCTTAATGCAAACACCAAAAACTTGATTTCGTGAGAAAGATCATGTCTTGCACTTGCATATTACGTGTCCATACTATAAGTACTGTATGTGTGACACAATTGTGGTGGACTAGGACAACATTCCATTTGGAAGGGCTCATCCCTATACAATAATCCCTTCAAAGGGTTTACCCTTCGGAAACCTTTGAAGGGATTAGGGCATAGGGATGAGCATTTCCGACTAGAACGTAGTGTGTGACACTAACCAACTTCCCCATGCAAAGGATCATGGCGGGCCTAAGGTGTCCATCAGTTGTATCCTTCAAATTTTTCTTTTGGAAGAGCCATTTTTAGTGGCCAGTTTTAAGCGTTTTGAACTTCAATATGTTGACTATGATTATTTTAATCTCAAAGTCCCCTTTGGAGGGTGGTATATCTTATTTGGAATCCACAGGGTATGTGGGCAGGCTTAGATTATGTTCACAAATCATATCAAACGCACAAATAGACATTGATGTAGTTGCAACGTACACTTGGTACGACAAAGTAAATTTTCCAAGGGTGTCTAAAGCACAGTGAGTTGAAAACATCTGAACTTTTTAGCATGACACAAGTGTACTGTGCATCGTGTGATAAGAATCAACCAGCATCAAACACTGTATGGATTATATAAATACTTTAGTAATAACGGTAGACTACCTCAGACAAACTCGGAGCACCCAAACACTGCAGTGCTTTTTAATTTTCTCCATAAATAAAAGTTGTATCAGAGCTGCAGCAAGGGTTTGTCAGTGGTAGTTTCTTGGAAAGCGTGGTTGATCATTGCTTAGCAACAATAGACGCCACATGTGCACATGCGCACAGATGTGCAATGAAATTAATGAAGGAAGCAGCACGTCTTGCATTTTCAACATGGTTTTAGATGCAATATGTGAATGGCAACTTAAAGTCTTTCTTTATTTGACGTCAAATCGACATGTCGACTAGTGGCCTTGCATGCATATTACAACATTTCAGTTATTTACTGTATGTGACTACACTGTAAAAAAATAAAAAGTTGAGTTAACTTAAAATATTAATGAAACCGGCTGCAAATACATTTTGAGTTTATTAAGCTTCAATGGATTAAGTTGTACCAAATATTATTTTTTAAGTTGTCTAAAAGGGCTGGTTTACGTCAAATATACTTTACTGAATAATTTGGCACAACTTCAACCACTGAAGCTTAATAAACTCAAAGTTTCTTTGCAGCCAGTTGCTTAAAAATTTTAAGTTAATTCAACTTTTTATTTTTTACAGTGGTAAACGCTTAAGTAAATAAATCAAAATTCAAAGTCTCCTCAGCTGAATTTTTTTTACTTTCATCGAGCAAACAGGTCCAAACATGAAGTTAATTCGTTTTTATGAGTAAATTCAACTCTGAGCTCAAAAATATGCCCACCTAACTTCCAATTTTAAACTGAGTTTACATTTTTTAAGCTGGATTTTTTACAGTGTGTAACAGATATAATTTTGAAAGTTTTCTCCTATACGCAAAACTTTTCAAAAAGACAAAGAAAAAATTCAATTTTAGTACATTAGTGTCATGTAAATGTATCTTAGGAAACTTCTTTTAACACATAGGGGAATCATAATTATATTAGTATTCCAATCTTATTATTAATTACAAAACTTTTAACAGTATTGTACATTAAAAATGCACTTCATTCAGACTTGAATACAGCTCTTTTTTGATGGAATATTTAAAATAATTTAGTGGTGCTTAAAGTAAAAAGATCTCTGCTGTATAATAAACAGATCTCTTTAATTAGTTATTTCTAGAAGAATTGTCATTGAGTTGTTAAGTATAATTAATTGGTATAGTTTATTATTTAAAATAAATTCAACAGAAAATGATTTGACGTCAGTATGATTGTTTAAATTATACAGATTTCTTTTAGCTTAATATTTTTGGGACATGGCAAGATCAGTGCTTGAATTATATATAGTTTGGAGATACATTTTATTAATTTACTTTAGGTCCACGCCAAAAAAAAATTTTGCATTAAAAGGCATTTTAATAGTAATAAAATTCATAATATTACAGAAAAGCAAAAAAAAAAATAAATAAAAAATGCACCTAAGGTGGTCTTGCTTCTTCTCTGATAATCTCAAATATGACCCAGTTGTCTGGGTATGATAACCATATGAAATCAGTTGTCTGAAAGGGCTGGTTTACGTCAAGTACTTTACTGAATAATTTGGCACAACTTCAACCACTGAAGCCTAATAAACTCAAAATTTCTTTGCAGCCAGTTGCTTTAGAATATATATTTTTTAGAATTAAAAGGCACTTTAATAGTAATAAAATTCAAAATATTACAGAAAAACAACAACAACAACAAAAAAAATAGACCTAAATTGGTCTTGCTTCTTCTCTGATAATCTCAAATATGACCCAATGTGAATAAATCTGTGGTCTTTCCTGTGTTTGTTTAAAAAGTTTTTTTTGTTTAAATATACAGTATTTGTTCTAAAATAATAAATGTAGCTTAATAAGTAGTTTCAGAAATATCCTGACTTTTTCTCTTTCAAAGTTATTTTCCAGACAGATTTTACAATCCTATTGACATAACTTTATTTTGAAACAATGTAGCCTACAATGAATATATTAGCTATATGCACATGGAGTCAAAATAACAGAAAATGATCAGCTGTGAAATTAGTTAGTTGTGTGTTTTATAATGTGGACTATTAAATCTTTTAATATGTGATTAACTGATTAATCAATTAATATGCAATATTATAACACTTCATTTTAAAGGCTACATATAACATTTCAGGGTCGTGGCTTTGAAGTTGCATTTTGCGATGACTGATTGTGTTGTAGTATATTTGTATTTATTTTTGGTGAGTTGCAGCTGTTTTACAGAAGATAATGTGTTTACTGAATTTGTTTATCTCTTTATTTATCTAATTTAAACTCTGAGTAGGAAATGTGATTGATTAACTTGAGGTGCATTTATGTTTTTAAACAATTTGTTTTGCATTCGAGTACTTATTTTAACGTGTGTAAATTTGTTGATGCTTCTTATAAACATTTTCTCTATGAACCCAAGAGTGGTTCTTACTAAGTAATAAACATCTATAAACATGTAAATGACTGCATACTTAAAAGACTGAATGTAAATAGTGAAATCTTTATGTTTGTGCTTGTGAATAAACACTGTATTTACATCTGTGTATGTGCGCACATTTGCTGAAGGATGTATTTGAATCAAGGCTAAATGGAAACCTCAACTTGCATTACTTGCATCACTTAGCTAAATAGCTGTTTCACACAGCTATTTGTGAAACATCATTGTAAATTGTGCTCAAAGCAACAACATCACGTCGTAGAAATGAGTGGTAGCAGAAAATAAATAGTGAAATATGAAGAGAATGTACAGGTTACAAATGGAAAATGCACTGTAGAGCTAAACCTAATGCTGGTGGCCGTGGGGAAAGAGAAAGTCTGCCCAGCTACAAAACGTAAATAAGCATTTATGTTGTGTTATGTAAGCATTTTAACTGGAAAATCATCATAGTATCCATATAATTGAGCTTCTATATTTATTTTGCCACAGAAAAATGTTAAAATTTGTATGTCAAATCAATAGATTTGCAGAAAATGTTTGACATTTAGTTAAAGCACACGGTTGTTAAAAGTAAATATTGGCAGAGAATTGTGTTTGTTGTTAGTACATCACAGGGCAAATATGATGCTAAATATCATGCTAAGATATATATAAACGTATAGTAGATAAGATGCAATACAGTTGAAGTGAGAATTATTAGCTCCCCTTTGAATTTTTTTATGTCTGATATACCAGCCTGATATCACCTGTTGGATATACATATAAGAAAGTCTTGTTTGTTTTATGTTGGCTAGAATAAAAGCAGCTTTTATTTTTTATTAACCATTTTAAGGTCAACATTTATTTTTTGATGGCAACAAATCATCGTTATACAATAACTTGCATAATTAGGACTATATTAATAAATAATATATAATCTCTCTATTAAACAGAAATTGGGGGGAAAATAAACGGGGTTAATTCTGGCTTCAACTGTATTAGAGTATATATATATATATATATATATATATATATATATATATATATATATAAGGACTGCACAATATATTATTTTAGCATCGATAAAAATGTATCAGCAATAGTCATATCGCAGGACTTGCAATGTGGAGTCAGGGTTGTAGCTGACCAGCTATAATAGTTCAGAACACATGCAAATTTTGGAGTCATATCAGTTTAACCTTAATAAAGTAAAAGTTTATCAAAGTTTACCTGTCTGAACATTTTAAGCAACTTTACCACATTTGGGCACAAGGAATTATTATGTTTTTAGCTTTACACAAAGATTAATTGCATTGAATTATTTACACACGGAAGAATATACAGCTTTATTGTACATTTGTTTATTTTACTTCTGTACATGTATACTGTTAGACCCCATTATTGCATGTTTGCTCTATTTATCTCTGTTTGTAATTTGTTTATTATATTTATGCACTCCCAATCATCCCGATCCATCTAAATTATCAATTAATTAACGTATCTTGGGAAATATCGCAATATAAATTGTTCAAATAAAAATATTGCAATTAACATTTTCTTTTTCCCAATATGGTGTAGCTTTAATATATACAGTGATATACACCCAAAAACAAATTTGTGCTGCTTGTTCGAACTACTTATTTAAAACAAGCTGAATCAAAACAATTATTGAGGTTTGGGGGACAACTTAAATGTTCTATGTCCAATACAATCAAATTTGTGAAAACAATTAAGTTAACTTAATCAATTTGTGTTGGGACAACATGAAGTAATTGTGTGTAACCCTGGGATGATATATTGATAATATTAGAGTGGATGACACTAGCATTATATCAGATGACTAAAACTTTACCAAATCATCATTAGTTACCATGCTAAACTATAGTACCAAACATTACTAAACTTCTACTTCCACTTTTATCAGCTGGCCAACTATATAACACATTGGTACCTTTTGATAAAGTCACAGACTATTTAATAACAATTTTATTTAGGATATTAAAATCACTTTTTCATCTTGATGAATGATCACTAAACAATTCAGATACTTTTTCAAAACAATAAAGCACATTAGCCTACTTTTAGTATAATACAGTAGGGCTACACAAAATATTGTTTGAGCATCGATATGTGTGTATCCACAATAGTCACATCGATTAATTAGATTATTTATTAAAGATTAAAACAATATTATTAAATGTTATTTTTGAAATCATTTATTAAATGATGACCATGTTATTTTATGTTTGGTTGTTCGATTTCTGTACCTAATTACTGCTAGAATCTCTAGGAAACCAATTATTTTCTTTATTTATTTTTTTTTTTACCTCTGCTTTGCTGTATTTCTATTTACTTTTGATTTATTCTATTTTATGTAGATGCACTGCATAGACAAAGACTTGATCATCCCAATCTATCTGAATGAAATCTTTACAAATAGAGCTATTCATTGCATTTAGTGAAATAAGATTTATATTACATTATACAGTTGAAGTCAGAATTATTAGCCCCCCTGAATTATTAGCTCCCCTGTTTATTTTTTTCCCCAATTTCTGTTTAACGGAGAGCAGATTTTTTCCACACATTTATAAACATAATAGTTTTAATAACTCATTTCTAATAACTGATTTATTTTATCTTTCCCATGATGACAGTAAATAATATTTGACTAGATATTTTTAAGACACTTCTATACAGCTTAAAGTGACATTTAAAGGCTTAACTAGGTTAATTAGGTTAACTAGGCAGGTTAGGGTAATTAGGCAAGTTATTGTTTAACGATGGTTTGTTCTCTAAACTATCGAAAGAAAACATTTAGCTTAAAGAGGCTAATAATATTGTCCTTAAATGGTGTTTAAAAAAATTAATAACTGCTTTTATTTTAGCCGAAATAAAACAAATAAGACTTTCTCCAGAAGAAAAAAATATTATCAGACATACTTTGAAAATTTTTTTGCTCTGTTAAACATCATTTGGCAAATATTTCAAAAAAGAAAAAACAAATCAAAGGGGCGCTAATAATTCTGACTTCAACTGTATATCACAGAAAAACAAAATATCGCAATCTCAGATTTTTCCAGTATCGTGCAGCCATACAACAAAGTCAATGTGACAAGACAAAATATACTTTTTTGATTTTTGACTTAATGACAGTTTTGCAGTTTGGAACTTTCCTTCAAGCAGTTTTGTGTTCAAAAGATGTCTAATAGACACATAGATGTCTTAGCTAAAACAAGGCTAACTTTGGGCAGCCAGTGAAGATCTAATAGATGTATAACACTAGTCATCAAATATGTGTAGTCTTTCGTTCCTGTCTATTTGTTAACTAGTTATTTTTGGTCTATTGTTAAACACCCATTAGAGATTCACTGATTAGGCTTGTTTGGCCAAGCCATAGATGATTGTTAGACTTAAAAAAAAAAAATGCACTTGTAAGGTAAATGCAGTAAAAATGCAGTAAAATGCAGTAAAAATGCTTTTTACAATTGGCTGTGCAAATAGTATAAAGCACTGTCTTAAGCATTTTCAGGCAGTGTCACCAACATCTGATTTTTTTGCATTGAAAAAAAATGTCCAGAGTAAACTGTCATAATGAAAACATGACAAAGCCATTTGACTATCTTGTTCATAAACAATGGTGTCGGGACTCTTCAGTATGATGATACTGACACTTTAATTGACATGAATACTTGCTTTTGAAGCATGAACTATCCATTTTGAGCATGTGACACATTTTTGCAGGTCATCAGCTAGGTTTTGCAGTTTGTACTAATTGTTATGAGAAATGCATTAACTGTTGTGCAGAAATGCACTAGTGTTGTAAGAAACACACCAAAGCGACTGAGAAAAACTGTAAATAATTACGTTTAATTTACTTATCTTTGTTTGTTTATTCTACGCTAAGTTAAATAAACATTTGCATTAAACATCTATTGTTTTGTTATATTTGCAACTTTGATGAAAATAAATTGTGTCAGCCCCTACAATGGTATCAACTCTGTTAAAAGCTGTCTTTAAAATGATAGATTGATGGATGGATGGATGGATAGATAGACAGACAGACAGACAAACAGACAGACAGATTTGTTTAAATATATTGTGACCAGGTCAAAGGCTGGTGATTAGGCTAAAACTAAAAGTGAGCACAATTATATTATTTTTTGTACATATAAATGCACTAGACTCAAATAAATTACACTGACAATAAAATCACATGTAATAAAAGCAAAAACAGAAAAAAGGTTAAGCATGCAACTGATTTTCACAATACATAAGCCCATGGCAAAGCGTCAAGTCACTGAATGGTTCACTGGAGCTCAGCTGACTAGCAACAGTGCAGCTTGGTTACTTTTGCAGCTCTGATGTTTCTTCATTATTGGGCCTTTTCTTTTCCTCGGTCACACCTATTGGCCGCTTTTACAGTCAGTCTTCCCACGCGCGCGCCCACTTTCCACTTCCGCGCGTCATCCGTGTCTGCAGAGCACGAGCGCGCTGACAGATTGGCAAATTACACCATGTGTTCCGCGGACACGCGCATTCGATTGGTTGAATAGTCGCCTTCGCCCCGCCCATCGGCAAGGAAAACCGTAAGATTGGCTAGCTCGGACCTCCCTAGGCCTTCCTGCGCGTTCACATTTTCCGATTCTTGACGCCACGATGTGGCGTAACCCCGGCTGTGCTCGCGCTCATCTCTATTGCCTCTCTTGCGCACGTAACGCACTTTACGTCGATCGGTCGGAGTGACAAAGAGAACGAGCACAGACCGACGGAGAAGAAATAAAAAAGGAAATTTCTGAATTACCGTGGGGATTCTGCTCACCGTTTCCTTTCGGAACCGCACGTTTGGCTCGTTTCTTGAACTGCCCGTGTGTTAAACTGGATTTCTTCTTTCGCCATCTGTGTGCATGGAGTTAAGTGGGTCGGAGCGGCCGAGGATATCAGTGTTGAAATTGGGCAATTGGAAAATTCTCATTCGTATCGCTGGTTAGAGCAAGGAAGCCGCCATGGCTGGTGCTGCTGATTCGTCGAGTCTCCACCTCAGTATATGAAAAATACTGCATGGCGATGAAAAACCGCCCCGGTTGTTTATAGCGGTTTGAGGCTGTATTAGATACGGACTGTGTGCTT